TATATATATATATATATATAAAGTTCGAAGCTTTGGGCAACAAGCCTCCAGAAACCCCGCGCTTCATTGCGCTTGGATGGGCTCGGTGTGAGGGCTGCTCCCAATGTCCTCCACGTGAATTATGGGGTATCATGGGCTTGTGCCGAGGATTGGTTTTGCTGAAGACGTACGGACGACACACATCATGACTTCAAAAAGACTGATTCGTAGTCTCAAGCCCTGGGTTGAAAATCCTTGGTCTTCCCAAACCCAAGGCAGCAATTGCGCTCGTTCCGAGGGCAAAGTTTAGCAGGTGAACAACTTCGACAGTGGATGAATTGGAGCCACACAGACCTCAAGGCACTTATGTCGGGTGACAGATCCACACATATTTGCACACAGTGGAGCTGTGATTTGTTCATGTTGCGATGGGGCTTACGCCGGCGCTTGTGCAAGCAACACCCGACTCACCAGCCTCGTGTCAACACATTACAACTCAGAGCCTGCGTGCCAAAACTAACACGCTGAAAGTAGTTAGCTACCATGATTCTGCGCTTCAGTCCTAAATTTGTTGCGTGTGGTATCCTGAAATTTACGCCAAGCCAGCATTCTCAGGAGTACAAGTTCGGGGACATTAGCAAGGAAGCCGCCACGCGTGCAAAGGCTGCAGTTGCCACGCTCCTGGGCCAGGAGGCGCATGGAGCAACTTAAGGTGCCGGCATGGCTGTCGAGGTTTCGCAAAAAAACACAGAATTCTCTGGGCGCGTTGCCCTACAATCCATTCCTTATTGATATGAAAGAAGCTCTTCCGTCGTGTCGAAGCAGGCGAGTTCCACGAGGGCTTGCGCGCAACACCCAGCCGAAGCCTTGGCCTCAAACAGGAGTACCAATTTGGAGACGTCACAAAGGCGGCGGTGAACAAAGCTATGGACAAGATCGCTGACTTCACGGGCAAGGACCTTGCTTGTGACAGGGCAAGACTAGTGACAGAAATGTTCCGGAAGAGTGCAAACACTAGTCTTATGGGTTGGCGATGAAGGACCTAGCGAGAAGAATATGTTGGCTGACGGAGGTTCTACTTGTGAGAGTTAGCAGGCTTTCGTCCACGGATGAACAGAGAGAGGGGGGTGCATTTATCGGGAGTTAGTGATTGCCAAAGAGAGGAAACCAGCTACTACGGGCAGTTGCGAGACTTTTCCAGGAAGAGTACAAGTTTGGGGACATCACCAAAACCCTGCTGCGCAAGACTCTGGACTACTTGGAGAAAGATGATTAAGGCTTCCGGGGTGCTGAGCCGGCCTCAACCTTCTGTGGCCGTAGATTTTCAGCTTCGGCTTTGGACGGAGCAGATTGATTTAACGCGGCCTTGGCTGTACAGTCACGAGCATAGACAGACACTAGTAGTAGATCATTGGCGGTCAACGACTGCCCTTCGCTTGTTACGGTTCATACTTGTATGCAATGGACCACGGGAATAAACCTCCTTTATCTGAGCCGAGTTGAAAAGTCCGGTTCAGCCCGGTACTCCAAGTGAATTCCTGCAGAAATCCAAACTTTGTTGTCGCTGTCACAACCGGAAGCACAAGTTGCGCGATGCGAGAGCAAAGCAGACTCGTGAGAAGGCGTGCGCAACTCCTCAACAGCTCCCTAAACGAAATTCAACCGTGACTCGTTTGAGTTTGCAACTTGGAGCCGCGTGTTTTTGCGATTTTACCATGACGAAAAATCGGGTGCAACAAAAGCGGCTTGTGCGCGACCTGAGGGGGAATCAAGCCGGAGCACCTGCTGCGGACTCGTTGTTCCATTAGTCAGACCGATATAGTACAACTACTGATGTTAGGGAAGAGACATGCTCAGGGCTTGACGGGTGTCCGTCGGCTTGCCGGATCGACTAAGACATGTCGTGTTCACTTTGAGCTCTGCGGCTTCAGAGTCTATCCTACTAGTACCATGGCCAACCCGAAGATCTCAACAGGGTTCTATAGAGGCAGCTCCTAGGAAAGTCAATGCAGAAGCTGAGCGGGTGCTTTTGAAGTTTTGAGCTGGGGATCTGTTTCGATGGGCCATAAGTCCAAGGGCTCCGAATCCAAGTAGCTGGCTTCCATCGTGCAGTTTAGGGGCTCTCTGACAGCACCTGAACTTGTTGCACACGGAGAACCGCCATGATACTTTTGTTTCGGGCACCTCCGAATGCATGGCAACACTCACGTAAGTTCGACAGGGACGGGGCAAAAACCCCAACAGAGCAAAGCTTAATACTGAAAGCCACCCCAGAGCACCGAAAGCCACCTCAAACGCAAGACTCTCGGAAGCCCGATACCCTAACACACCAAGCACATCCCCTCAAAAATCACATCACCCTGAAAGGCTGCAGACCCCACCCCAATCTAAACACATACCCTAAAACCCAACACGCAACGCTCCCTGCGGTGCGACTTGTCAGCTGGGCGGGTGGGAAGAAAACACGCAACGCCTAAAACTTAGACCTGCTTGGTAGGTCCGTCGCAGCCATGCGGGAGGCAGCAACTTAAACCCTGACCTGGACCCCAAAAGTTCCAGAGCCATGGCCAACGTCACCCACTCCTGGGCTTGGGGAAGTTACTGGGCTGCTCCCGAGGGCTTTCGGTGGGCATCCCAGGTCGGCCGGGCCGTGGAAAGGGGCTTCAGAGCATGTAGCAGCTTATTACAGCAGCGGCAGAGTGAGGGTGGTTTGAGGCTTCGGGTTTTGGGGTTGAAGCTGTCAGGCTCAGGGTTGGGGATTTGAAAAAAAGGTTTGGCTTTGGAGGTGTTGGGTTTTGAGATCAACAGCGTTTTAGTAGCCTGTGTGCAGGTTGCTTCAAGTTTGCGGTGTGTGCGCGTGCGTGTGTGCGTGTGTGCGTGTGTGCGTGTGTGCGTGCGCGTGTGCGTGTGTTGTGTGTGTGTGTGTGGTGCGTGTGTGGTGTGTGTGCGTGTGTTGTGTGTGTGTGTGTGGTGTGTGTGTGTGTGTGTGTGTGTTTTGTGTTGTGTGTTGTGTGTGGGTGTGGGTGTGCGTGTGCGTTTTCGTGTGCGTGTGGGTGTGTGTGGGTGCGTGTGGGTGTGTGTGTGTGTGTGGGTTTGTGTGTGGGTTTGTGTGTGGGTGTGTTTGTGTGTTTGTGTGTTTGTGTGTGTGTGTACGTGGCTGTGTGTTTCAGTCTTGGAAGTTAGCGTGCCGGAGTGCTGGCGAGGTCGACATTCGGCCGAGACAGAGCCAAATCAAAACATGATGAAGACAGCAACCACAGCATCCAAACAGGCCTCATGCGCGCCACCTGAGCCCGCAATCCACAGGGTCCACGCAAATGCAAGTGCGCATCCAGCAGACTAGAGCGTTACCCAAGCTGTAGAAGGATCGACGACGGAGCGTTTGTGCCAGCAAAACTGCTGAAGACAACAGCCACTGCGACTCACAACTAGCCGATGCCGCAGAGAGCTATCGGCATAAGAACAGTTCTGGGACTCAGGGTGGCGCCATTGGCACATCCCATCTCAGGTTGGCGGCTTTGCAGGGCGAGCATGACCGGCATCCGGCACTGCAGAAGGCCGGCATTGTCCAAGGCTGTTGGGTTAGGTTGAAACTTGGTGAAGGCATGCCTTGAGGAAATGCTTAAGGCCAGGCCGCGAAGCGCAGGCGGGTAAGTAGATGGGATCTCTGACTCTTGCCGAGCCTCGACTGTGAGAGAGAGCAATGCATTTCCCCAGCAGGCACCACCGCGGCCTCCTGCAGGTGCGGCAAGTTTCTTGCAATGTTCTGCGGGTGTAACACCGAATCGCATCACATCACCGGTATTTGAGAAATCATGCAACAATCCTTGCTTTTGGCTTCCAAGAAATAGTTCCTCCACTCCTAGCGCAGGTCAGACAGTGCTCCCGATCTTATCCAAGCTGTCCCTCGGCTTCCAGCGTGAAGTGGATTACTTGCACGTAGCTGCTAAATTACTCACCCATACTGTCTCTGATCGATCCGGCGCCACCTGCAATTCCGTCGCCATCACTCAACCAACCTGCGCCCAGGAAGTCAGGAAGGAACCTGCTCCCCACGGAGACTATCATCCGCACCCCGCGAAAGCTTCCAGCTGGGGTGGCTCCACTGCCTCCACTGCACTGTTTCTATTGATCTGTGGTTCGTCGATCACGGTCACGGGCTGGATCATTCGGTTGAATAGTGCTTTTGTTGTGTGCAAGAGGCTCAGAGGACCAATCGGAGCGGTCGCTTGCTCCCGGCGTGCCGATAGAGGCCCCGACCGATGCAGGGAATTGCCACGCCCGAAGTGCCATCAGCAACTGTCATACGTGCATAAATATACAAGGCGCAAGCTACAAAGGCGAAACTGACCTGTTTCGGGCATAGAATCGCGACAGCATGGTCTGCGAATTTGCGGCTCGTGTTGCGGGATGTTGCGGGCGCCCAAGGTGCCTTCTTTAGTTTTCTTTTGAGGCCATTGCACAGCATCATGCAGAAAACTTATCTGCACGCATATCAGGCACGTGGTTGCTTCTCTCGCAAACTGCCCCCAGCCGTGGGATGTGCCTCTCGTTTTGCCTTTAGACAGATCTCATGCCAAGTGACGAGCACCGAGCGCAGTCAGAGTGAAGTGAACTCAGTTCCTCCAGAGCTGGCTCCGATGGGCAGTATTTGGAACCGTGACAGAAACTAGCTCACAGGTTGTCTCGCAGGGCATGCTGCGTCCCGTCACAACACCTCCTAGTCCTCAGTTTATCCGTACCTCTGAACTGAACCGCTCGCAGCGAAGTCAAGACTGTTCGGCCGGATTCGTGGTTGGTGCGTCAGCGCAACGGCGCTGGTTGGAAGTGGGCTTACCATCCCCCTGAAGATTCGCGTCCATCCAACCGGCTCTCCCTTTTGTGCTGGCCTTTTAACGGGGGTCGGAAGGAAACCTTTCCGCCTTGATATCCTGAGCAAAGCTCGCGACGAGTGTCGGCTCGGATTTCCACCCGGCTCGCCAAACATGTTGAAGCAGCAAGGAATCCTTGCAACTTTCAACCGGGGTTATGAAGCCCGTCCTCTTGAGGATATCGTCGAACATTTTCGGCCAAGTTTCCCAAGCGATGCCCTGGGCCGAAGGGGCCCAAGGTAACCGCCGGGAAGTATTTGTGTTTATCAAGCTGCTCCTGGAGGGATGCCGCTCCCTGGAACTCTCGCGTCAAGTCTCAGGGCGCGGAGTTGCTTCTTGTTACTTATGTCGGCATAGTGAAGGTCTATAAAACCTGCTACAACCACTGCGAAGCCCTCGGCGCCTTTGCACCACGCAACCTGGCCTGGTTAATCTTCGGCCACTTGGTGGCCGGCCTGCCGGCATAGGTATTCGTCGAAACTTTCGATGGTGCCGCACGAGTTGGGAAGAGCTGGCTGCACAGCCTGGAGTCTTTAGCAGCATCGAGCGTCTACTCCTCGGCTTGGAGTCCCGCCGCTTCCGGTCGTGCTGTCTTAGCTTGGGAGCTCAATAACGACAGACGACAGAGTCGTTCTGCGTAAAGATGCCCCATGAAGCAGCAGCAACATAATCACGAGAAAATCAAAAATATGTTGGTTTCCAGAGGGCGGGCCGAACCTAGAATTATGACGTTGACATAGATTCTTCCTTTTCACAAAATTTACAAGCACTTATATATCTTGGGAAATAGGAGGCGAAAAATAAATATGCTATGGGCACGAAAATTTATAGGAATTGATGATATTCGAGATATGGAAAAAATCGTGATTTTCTTGACGATCTTTTGATATGAATTAATATGATTTTGCGAGAAAAATTTGATTTTACTAATTATATTATATATTCTTTTATAATTTATTCTCGGATTAGAGATAATAAAAAAAATTGAAATATCTCTGATTTAGATCGGATTCTGAGATATATTAGATTATGGGATAATAAAGAAATTATAGATTAATTTTCTGATTTCAAGAATATATATATATTATGAATTGCAGACTATATATGAATTTATATATAAATGTTTTTTTAGTTATTATTATTTATTATAAGGATTTTTAAATACTATCGAATTTTCTTTTTTCAATATATTATAGAAGATATAGTTATGAAAATACGAGATTTCTTTATATAAAATCTTACTATGTGATTTGGTATAATATTTGATTCAAGATAAAAAAAATAGAATTAATTTATTCTTGATTTTGGTGGATTTGGAGGAGGAAGTCGTCTCGGAATTATTAGATTATTAGAATATTGCTCCGATCTATATAGTGACGCTAATATTATCGTTTTCTTCGCCTTGCGAGACCGAGGAGACGGTGTTGAATTTCATTTAATATTGCCTTGGTTGAGGTCCGGTACTCTATCAAACGTTGCCTTGGTTGAGGTCCGGTATTCCGGCTTCCTCCATGGCTTGATCGGCTGTTTAAGCGCCTCTTGCTACTACAGCATTGTCTTTTTGAGGTCAGTTGAATTAGGATTGTGCGTATAGTTAGCAGATTAGATTCTTAATGGGATTCATCCTGCTTGGGCCTGATCGGAACTTTGTGTCACTGACCTATTATAATTTTCCGTAGTCTGTTCAGCGTGCCTCGCGCTACTGATTATTGCTGATCCATCTTTTGTGACCCCGTCTATAAAGGAGCTCTCATTTCAGGGTGGTTGCAAATATATCGTAATCCCAGTCATCCCCTATCGACCCAAGCTCCCTGTCTGAGGTTTCCAGTGTTTAAGCGGTTGTGGTTCCTGGTTTGCGGGAATCCTCCTGTGCTTGAGGGTCGGACAGTAATTCGGCTTGGGCCATCAGGGAAAGATCTCCTCATGCCGTTAGGAGAGCTTCAATTCGAATTTCCCGGAACCAATCTGCACCTTATCTCGTTGCGTCCGCTTCTCCGACTATGCCCATTGCTCACACTGTGATTCAGAATCAAATGAATTAATTAAATATTGGAGCCTCGTCTCAGGAAGTCATCGTCGATCAGCAAATTGCTGCAGATGAGGCTGCGAACAGGGTTGCTGCTCAAGCTGAAGTCCTGATCAAGCTTCCATCAATGAAACTCAAAGTCAGGTTAGGGATATTATTGCTGAAGCCGGCAGTTCCGTCGAGCAGTTGCGTGAATAGCTTAATGCTTCGGAGGTACGACGCGGGGAACTCTATGAATATGGATTATTCCTTTCATAACAGCTAATTGAAGCAAAAGCGGAATTTAGTAGGATGCCAGCCGAAATCAATGCTTAGGATGTCTCCTATCAAGAGCTGCAGGCGTCGTTGCAGGAATATCAATCTAATCAGAATGCGATGATATTTCAGCTTGTCTAAATTCGTATCGAAAAATAAATTAAAAATCGTGAAATCTAGCGTCTCCGGTCGGTCGCTACAAGCGCCACGAGTAATGGGTCTCCTCCTAAGCCACCAAAGCCTTCGGCACCTCCATTGGCATCGATTTCAGGCTCCAATGAGTCTTGGAATTATTTGGATTTATAAGAACCGCCTCCGGATAGGAAGATTTTCGCTGGCTCATTTGTCCCGCCGCTATCGTCTGCACATTCTCTTCATTCATCACAACCAATATCTCCTGTTGCAGACCCTCGCGTGGATCAGTTGATTGAAGTTATTCAATAATTGGTATAGCAGGTCGGTCAAAATGCTACGGACTATGATGAG